GAGGCCATTTTGCCAATCCTATTCCCCTGTGCCGTATTACAGGTGCTGGGGCAAGGTTCCATGACATATAAAGGAAACAAATTTAAGATGGATAAAAGGAAATACTTTCTTAACAGCTGTAATTAATGCAAGGAAATCTCATTGCCATAGGATGCTGAGGACTGTAGCATTGTAGCCGTGTTTGAAATGAAGTACTACCTGCATACTTTGTGCTGTATATAACTGGCACGTTTATAGTAAGTGGAATAATATTTTCAAGTTAAACTTGCACTAAATACTACCTCTCATGTTTCAGGGTACAAATGGATTACTACTTGGAGCTGGGAAACACAGGGGTTTTTTCTTTGCTGCAACACTGAACCATTAGCCTTTCCCTGAGGAAAGATATTGGTTTAGATAGGAAGCATGAGGAAAAAAGAGTAATTTGCCAAATATCACAAATGTTGCCTATGCTGAGTGAGCCAAATGGCTCTAAATGGAAATTGGAAAGTATTCAACAGGGCTGGGAGAAATATGCACTGTCATTAGGTTAGCAGTGGAAGAAGACTTGGTCCAAGTTGTTAGAAACCACATCCTGTTTATCTTGCGAGGCACTGTGGCGATCCAAAACCAGAGGGGATTCAAAAAGCAGCATGGAGAGGAAACCTTTTAGTCATGAGAATCGGCTGTTTTATAAGCATGTCTGGGTAGAATTTGGAGGGGTATGGGACTGAGAAAGCTCTTTTGGGGTCTCTTGGCTTAAGTACAGAAGTCCTATGCCATTCAGAGCCCCTGGCACGGGCTGCCTGCAGCTCTCCCCGGTACGTCGCAGGGCTATCCTGTTCGGCAGCCAAGGCTTTTACTGGTGTTCAGTAGACTTGAAGTGCCTCTGTCAGACATTGTGCTGTTTTTCTGGGGTGTCAGTGCTGCTAAGCTGTAGTGTTGCGCTGAACTAGATAGTTCAAGCTCCAGTTCAGCTGCTGTCCCTAAGCTACTAAGTCACTACAGTAAATAAATTGTAGACCTGTACTTAAGCCTGGTAAGCTGTTCCCATCATTAGGAAAACCAAATGCAATACAGTGGAAGCAGAATTAACCACTACATAAAAATAATCCGAGTCTAGGGAAAGAAAGAGTAATTTTTATTGAGCCATATGTGGAAAAAGTAGTTGTGTGCAGGGTGATCCATGTATATTTGAGGTACACGTAATGCACCTCAAATGCACTAGGTCTTGCCTTGAGGATTTTACAGCCCTGAGGGTGGGGAGAGGGATGGAGTTTGAGGCAGAAACTAATTTTTGTAAAACCCTGTAATGAGAACCCTTTTATAAGAAAATTCTTGTTTGAAATCCTTTCAAATAAGGGCTTAGAACTTGATTCCTATGTGGAGCACCCTGCTGACCCTGCATGTCCATTTTTTTGCCTTCTGAAGATAATCTAGCCAGGCTTGCTGAACATGTCAGCTCTGAAAAAGGACCAATGCACTGTACTAATGGCACCTGCATGATTTATCCATGCACATGATGGCCTCTCTGCTCAACATGAGTTGGGTGCAGGCAGCAGGTTCAGCAAAGCAGTGTGCCCGGTGTGTTGCCCATGCAGAGTTGCTGCCTGTAGTAATGCCTGTTTGCCTGGCAGATCCAGCAGCCTGGGCTGCCATCCATCCCAAAATGGGGGAGATGGGCGTTTGGTGCTGTTGAGCCATACGTCATCATTCAAATAGTGATGTGCCAACCTATCAGCAGAATTAGCAGTGTCTAGATCAAATGTGCCTGGACAAGGATATGGCAGGGGACGATGAAAGACAGACTGTTAACATAGCTCTTAATGTCACCTTAAATGTTTCTTCCTCCTCTTGGTACACGGGGTCATGTTGGGCCAGAGAAGTCATGAACTCTGAGGTCCTCAGCGGCTTCCTGGTCATCCGCAGGAGGCGTAGCTCGCTCAGGACATCTTGCACTGCCTTGATGATATGTCCCTGGGTGAAACCATCAGACAACTTTGCTAGGCAGCTTATGTTCAGCAAGTTGGTGATTATTCCACCGTTCTGCAGGATGGTGTGTTTCCACAGCACTGTTCATCAGCACCCAGAAAAAGGGAGAATGCCAAAGACATGCATTAAGCAAAGCAGGAGAAATATTTCTGCATTTTGAAATCAAACGAGGCAAATAAGGGGTATCAGTTAGCAAAGCCAAGATTCAAATCTTTCTTGTTTGCTTGTTTCTTTAATCTACAGATTTGTAGCATAGAAGCCTTTAGGCACATCTGTTCTTCAACCTTTAGTGATCATTTGTTGGCAACCAGTCAGTACTTTCAGAAAGTCATTAACAGCATATAATGTGAGGTGAATACGTGTATAAAAATGGCGAGAACTACTTAAATATGCATGTGTGCATACACAGAAAGACAACCTGTCCAGAATGTTCCCATTTGGGTGTGTAGAGTTATATTAACCTATATTAACAGCCTGTTTTTATTTCTGTGACCCTGATCACAGGTTACTCCTGCTAACTCAGGGCTGCTATGCGGACTCAATGTCTGGCTTGGAAGCCAAAGGCTTCCAGCTATGCAGGCACATGTTGTCAAGGCCAGGTGTAGATTTCTGTGATTGGCGTTCTGCTTGTTAGCTAAATGGTGAACCTGTTTGTATCTTTTAGCTGTGAACCTCTGACATGAAGGGGTTTTTTAACGTTTGGGAAGTGCCTGAGATTTTTGCTTCCAAAAAATCAAATTAATAGGAGTAATAAATGTTGTTGTTTTATCCTCTGTAAAGCAAGTCTGTCTTGGGGGAACTTAGAAAAACTTTTATGCCATGTCACCACGTTTTTCTTTAAAGCCCTACATGAGAACACTTGGAAAAAATAAGTTTTATGCACAGAGATTAAAAAGGTTCTTGAATGAGACAGCTTGTGGTTTGAGTATCCTGTGTTTGACTGCTCATCTGTAGTATGAAAATGTTGGGTGGAAAGCTAATGGTATTGGATGTTGGGGAGGTTATGTCATGGGAAAAACCTGCCTTACTCTTGCTTTGACTAATGCCGATGCTATGGACTTGTGCCCATAACTATTGACAACTTTGTACTACACTTTTCACTCTGGCAAACTGTGATCTTCCACTTGAATTATAACTATGCTTGATAATTATTGGCTGAATCATTAACTCAGAAAAGAGGAACTGATGCATACAACAGTGAGCACTACTTACGCAGAGCCATGCATTTTGTGCCACAGCTGCTGTTGCAGGTAGGATCACACATAATAAGATATACTGACTGGCTGGGTGATAGTGAGAAACCAGCGCAGGATGGTGAATTTCCCAGTTTAATGATTTGCATTGCATGTTTGTTGCTTCCATCATGCACAGAGTGGAGTATTCTGGTTTGTAACAAAGTAGAGGGCTGTAGCAGACAGGTAGTTTGTGCCCTGTGGCTATGAATACTATGTCATGGCTTTTGTGGCTATGAATATTTGTTATGTCACAGCTTTTCTGTCAAAACAGGTTTCTTTAGTTCTTAGATTGGGTGTTAGGCACTGAAAAATGTCAAGGTTAGAAGGTGAGTGCTCTGTACTGTAAAGATGGTATTTCTGTTGAACTTGAGGGAAGGTTGGAGCTAATAAGCAAGAATGGCACTGTCTTAAATGCAACAATGTCAAAGAAGTAAAGCTACAAGTTTAATCTGCTTTAAAATGCCAAGAGTTAACTTTTTGGGGCATTCTTAACTTTGCAGTTGAAATCCCTTTGGCTGGCCCTTTTCTTGACTCCCAGTTAGTGGTGAGAATCCCAGAATGTGATGGTTCCACCCTCAGAAGTGAACACGGCTAAATTCAGTTGCTATCACCTCCTTTCTCCAGTCTTATGTCCCTTATCTGTTAGCAATTCATCAGAGTTGTAGCATAACATGAAACACATGTTAGCTTGCTTCGAGACCTTTTCCCATCCACACTATGAAAATTATTGAATGTGGGAGAGATTTACAATGTGCTAGGCCGTCAAAACCTGTCTTGAGCTTGCCCAAACGTGTATCATCTCAGTACCTTGGCTGCCTCCATGGGAGGCAGTATAAACTGGACTTCACATACAGTCGCATGATTTCTGTAATAAGGTGGCAATACGGAGCAATATTCTAGCCAAGGTACATTTGTGTAGTGAGGTCCCTGAACTTGAATATGGTTTCCTTTACTACTGTGTTCTTCTGGGAGATGATCCACTGGAGATTAGTGGCATGAAGGGAGTCTGGTTTTGTTGATATGGTGATCAACAGGGATAGCCATGATAGGAGACACTGACAGAAGAAACACACCCTTGAGAGTCCCAGTTTGAAGTCTTTGGTGCCATTCTGAATAGTCCAAAATCTTTTTTCCACATTATCTTCAGATTCAACTTACACAGCCCTTCTGCTCATGAGTCATCACATCCAGACTCCTTAGTACCCAGAAAAATATATGAAAAACCACATGATATCTGTGATAAAACCACAGGAAAAAAGATTCTATTTCTGGGAACAACAGTTTCTCTAACAGCTGATTCTGAAGGATGTGGACAAACCACTATTTTTCTTGCAGTAATTGAATCACATTATTATGCTTAACTTCGAGCATTTCTTCCTAGTCAATGTTGAGCTATTCCAGACTTCAGGGTGATTAAAATCTGAAAACAAACTTGCATGCTTGAAAATTTGTCTTTTTTTTCTACCCATGTAAGCTGGCCTAATAATTGTAGAATGGTTTTGGTTGGAAGGGACCTTATGGATCACCTCGTTTCAACCCCCCTGCCATGGGCAGGGACACCTTCCC